AACGGACATCCATGAATACATCAGGAAGATGGCCACAACTGACCGTGTGCTAAGTAAATACCTCTGGCAGCAGAAACCCATGAAAGAAGTGGAGCAAGAGGAAGAGCCATAAAGGAAGGCAGGCCCCTGCACAGTATATAACATCAGCAGAAAGAGGAAGTGGCTGACGTTTAGAAATCCTACCAGTGGCTGGACAAAGCTGGACTGAAAGACAAGCACAGAGGCACTAATCATGGCAGCACAGGAACAAGCTCTGAGCACAAGAGGGCAGAGGTCTGCCCCAGGTACAGTGTCTGCACAGCCTGCACCCCAGGCAATAAAATCAACACATTTAATATATCTCTTACACTAAAAGAGCTGCACTATGTCCATTCTATAAGAATTGTTAATAGTTGTACGTGTTTATGAATTTGTGCAATATTTGTCTGCACGATAGGAAAAATTCCAGCTATGCTGTTAAAGATGGTTAAAAATATATCCTGGTGAATTGCAATGGTGCTAATAAAATAGACTATATGAGCTATATCAGCCTTTTTCAAAGTTTCCTCATTTTATGAAGAATGTAGTTTAACTGGTCCCCAGCCTCTTCGTTTTCCAAATGTGAGCCTCAGCCAAATGAAGTCGAGTATCCCTGCTCTGCTGTATGTGATTCTGTATGGACTGTTATATGTGAGGAATGTGATTCAGCTTTACCAAGTCTGAAAGCCAAAAGGAAAAGTTTGTACCTAATTGTCAGTAGCAGTAGTGAAGTTGTGGAGGTGTTCTGAAAGTCTCAATTCAGTTCAGTTCAGTTTTATTTACACAGCGCCAAATCACAACAACAGTCGCCTCAAGGAGCTTTTTATTGTAAGGCAGACCCTACGGTAATACATACAGAGAAAACCTTACAGTCGTATGTCACCAAGCATTGCTAACACCAAAATCATGTATGTATTATTTAAGAATGTCGTAGTGTCTGCCAGGTCCTTTGACTCATTGCTCTACTGTGCCTGTCAATTTCTGGATTAAGTAACAGGTTGAAATCTCTTCCAGTTCAAATAAGTGTGGTGTCAGACTGATCCAAAAATAAAGTGAAAAAGGAGGGATCACCATTTGGTCCATACATACAAAATTTATATTAGTACATGAACTACACATTTTGTAGTGTTGAGTGTGTGTGTAAAGGTGTGTGTGCCTGTGCTTTAATTGTGCAATAAATCACACAGTCCAGCCACCCAAGAATGCGTCTGAAATGATCTCAAATCAACAGCAATAACAGGAAAAGGCAGATATGTCTATAATAGACACGAAGAGAGAATTAGAAAAAGGCGTTCGACACAGGATCAGCACAGCCATGGAGCGGTGTTCTGGTCACGATAAAGTTGACTTTAACATATAGCGTATCAACTGCAATGATATCATGAGAGCCTCCTTGGACAACTTATTTCAAATCAGGACCGTGCGTTGCTCCAGGATCCCCTTAGGAAACTGGTCGTTGAAGTCCCTTCCTCTCAGTTCCTGCTGTGGTCTGGGTTTGTGTCAAAGCTGAACAGGTTTTGATCTATAGATTCCAAAATATCGACCATGTCACTGTCTGTGGAGAGAGACCAGTTCCAGGAAGTCTTCCTGGCGGCTTTTCTTTGTGGATGGAGTACCTGTTCTTTTGGAGGGAGTCTCTGTCTTGTTTGGTTTCCCCATGATGACGCACTCAAAACACTCATCAGTATAAAGCTGTAGACTGTCCAGATCATATGTTGTTATGTTTAAAGCTGCCTGGCAGAAGACTGTTGGTGAAAATTAGTGACAGAAAGGTTTTTTGGTGAGTACGTTCAGTATGGCCAAGATTCCCAGTGGGTCTCACATTACTACAGTACAGCATCCTGTGCAATTCAACTTTGACAGTTCTGCCTCAGCACAATTTAAAAGACGAGTAAAGGCTGTGTAATTGTGTTGGTGGAAGCACAGCATTTTGACAGGAGGGATAATTTGCTTTTGAGAAGAATTTCCTCTTTAGTGGCGAAGTGTTCTCGGGTATGAATGCAGTGTAGGAATAAGAAAAACACAGATCCATTAACAGTCAGAAGAATTTGTTTTTATTACAATAATTTTTCAATTAACACTTCAAGCTGGTTCAAATCTCAACAATATTTACAGACTTCCACAGTTTACTGCAGCTCCGAGTTCAAAGCAATAGATAGTAAAAGGAGAGAGAAACACGACACAGTGGGTGCCTGCTTAGAGCTGGGTTTCCAGCAGATTGATATGGTTTGCATTGAGGATCTAAAACACAACCATTTATTTAGAAGTATTTAAGAATGGGGAAACTGATGTCCTGATCACTGACAAAAGTATAGCCAGTTAGCCAGAGGGGTCTGTTGAGTAAACACCTATACAGAACATGAATACTGGATATGTTCATTTTGTGTCTCTAAGTAAAAATAAATAGTTTTTTCTTTTCATATTTTACTGAAAGTGTCAATGAAACTGTAAAAGTTGCTATCATGGCGGGCAGTATGGACATGCTTTCAGCACATATTGTGCAGTAATATATTATCTGTCTGCCCGTATGGCTACTTTTAGAGGCCGTGGAAAAAGCCATTCAACGGGTGGATAACATTCAAATTAAGTTTATAGTTTCAAACAAATGTGAGGGTATTGCATTGGAATGCATTCATTATTAATCCATTTGTGTAATAAATGACTAATATTTTACATATTTACAATAAATTAAATGAACAGAATGTACAGAATTAAAAAAAGTGTAAAGTCAAAAGTAGACTGATAATTTCATCTGTAGTAACATGTATCTGGCAGAATAGCCTGGGTCTAAGACACTGAGTGGAGATCAGTTGGATAGGAAGTTGGAACAGATTAGCGAATGTATGTGAATTGTTTCAGTTGAAAATGTAGCAGAACTAATGTTCTGCTACATTTTCAACTGTTCAATAAGTTGAAAAGTTGAAAATCTGTAATGTAATGTTGTAGTCCAATGAGCACCTACACATAAAATGTGTAGGTGCTCATTGGACTACAACATTACAGCTGTTCTGTTATGTTTACACATTTGGCTTCACTAAAGAAGCTGGTCCAGTTAATAGTCCAGCCCATTTAATCCTCTTAGGTGAGTTCGCTAGCTAGGACACTGATGTAGAAATATTCACTGAACAAATGCCTGCAAAGAAATGAACAAAGCCACAGTTTTTTTTTATTTAAAGGACATGTGCTTTTGGCTGGTTACAATTCAGAAAAAGAGGAGGAGACTGCAGCAACATTCAAATGTAATTCTCATTCTTCACAAGTAGGCTAAAAGTTATCAATACATTCACATTGGCTGTACAGTCATACTGTACATAGTCATACATCTACTTTGGAGTATAACTGTACTTAGGCTAAAGGACATACATATTTCTATTTAGAAAAATGTGTAGCATAAATGTCATTACTCAAAATGCTTCGTTTTATTGATAAAGATAAATTCTCACAACTAGATAATTAATCAAAAAATAACTTTGAACAAAATAAAGTACAGTAATCATATGAAAAATAAAAAATATATACCCTATCATAAGTTGCTATATGTTGGCTAAAATTACAACAGTTTTGTTATCATGTGCTGTAGTTGTTTAAGATGGACAATTACATCAACTACCTTCCATCTAGCATTACAATGAACTAGAATTGTTAAAATAGATAGATAGATAGATAGTAGGGGTGCAACGATACACAAAATTCACGGTTCGGTTCGATACTTTGGTGTCACGGTTCAATATTTTTTCGATACAAAAAAATGTTCATGCTTTTTTAATTTGTCATTTATTAAAATTATAAATATATATTTTAACTCAAATGTACAGTTTTTAAATTTAATGTTGCTGAAACAACAAAATAAAATAAAAAAATCTATCTGATTGAGGAATCGCTCATCTTTGGAAAAGAGAGTTTATTACAGAGAAATGGCTCTTTCAAAATAAAAGCTATACTATCCGCTTCTTCTGGGCTATATTCTCAGCAGCATATTAAACATATCAGGTCCCCATAAGGAGAATCCTGTGCTAACAGCTGTCTAAATGACTCGGGTAAAGTTTGTAGCGTGCTATATCGAAGCTGTGGTGATCCCTGCAGGAGCTAGAAGGATCAGAGTAGTGGAGGACAAACCTTCACATAGTTTTTTGGGTAATGATGCTTGTGTTTTCCAGATGACTTTGTGGTTCTTCTCAACAATGCCGCTCACTTTTAGACACGCTGAGACATTAGATACCAGAAATGTCTCTTTCCAAAATAAAAGCTCTACTATAGCTTCTTCTGGGCTATATTCTCAGCAGCATATTAAACATATCAGGTCCCCATAAGGAGAATCCTGTGCTAACGGCTGTCTAAATGACTCGGGTAAAGTTTGTAGCATGCTGCTTGTTGTTGTCTGCTTCCACTTGTCTTTGCACTAGGATGATGTCGGAGTAAATGTGCAGTCATATTCGTTGTGTTCCCACTAGTGCTGTCAGCGTTAATCTGAAATGACGTTAACGCCACAACACGGCAAATCTCCATTAAAGAGCTACCGCGGATCGCCCCGTGCATGGGGCTGGACGGCGTCAACACGTGATCGAGCTAACTGCGCTAACGCATGAGTTCCCACCCATGTAATTGAGCATTGCGTGGCACATCCAACACACTGTTTTACTTTAGTCCATGACGCGCTTACCTTCAGGGTCATACGTCACATGAAAACCAAAATAGTTCCAAACGCCAGATCTGAATGAGGGTGGGGGAGGTTCAATTTGCCATGTTGCAAGGAGCTTAGCTTCTGTCTTGCTAGCTTGTGCTGTGCTCAGTGGATCTGCGCTCGACAGTCTAGGCAGAGTAGTCGAGCGCAGATCCACTGAGCGCTGAACACAGACAGCATCGTCCGAAGAAAAGTTGATAAAATAAATTAAAGATTTTGTATTGTTCGATACATATGCGTACCGAACCGAAAGCTCTGTATCGAACGGTTCAATATCGATACGAGTATCGTTGCACCCCTAATAGATAGATAGATAGATATTATGCACTTGCTGATTTTATAACCTTAATATTTCTACATTGGCAATACTCCCAGATGTAAACACCATAAAAACAAAAAAAACAATGTAAAGTCGTACATTCTCATGCTGTCACTCAGTTTGCTTTGCACTTACTGGTCCACAAAAAGAAAACACCTACAGGTAGAAGTATAACATCCATTGTGCATGGCTACCACCTTTCTCATTTATTCATGATTTCATGGTGCAAATTGGAACAACAATAACCAGGATCACAGTGCAAGTAGCAGCTGCAATCAGTGCTCCAATCTTACACGCCTTGGCCCTCCTAAATTCTGCCTCTTTCCTCTTGAGCAACGAGTCATAGCCTGGGGTGTAGATGTCCTCCATCCAGTACTCCAGATTATTGGGGTTTAACGACTCCTGGGTCTGATGAAAGACACAAAGACTATAAATAACAATTAGGGATGTTTTCCATTTGGCTTTAAAAAAAATAATTTTTTAATTAAATGCTGTGTTGAGGCTGTTATTTTTAGCATCTGCATGGATGTTAAAATCACCCACAATAATTGTTTTATTGTGAGTGAGAAGTTAGACAGAAACTCTGTGTGAGGTCCAGGTGTACCATCGGTGGTAGCAAAGCTGGGGCGGAGGAGGCTGAGCATCAGGCTTTCAGATGAGTCTCTAATTCACTGATCCTGGTATCCAGAGCTTCCAATAGGCTTATTACTATAAACGTCTGAATGAATAGTGAAAAGCTCATATTCTTTAAATTACTTACAGAGTGAAATTATGTATTTTAAATGTCTAAACTCAAGAATTTCAAATGAATAACCAGAATATCTGTTGTGTGTGTATGCGTGTGTTTGTGTGTGCGCATGCATGTGTGTCTGTGCATGCGTGTGTGTCTGTTAGTGTAAGTGAGTGAAAGTGGGGAATTGTTATCAAATGAGCAGGAAAAAAAGTTTTATTTTAAAACTGTGTGTTTGTGGGGAGATAAACTATGTCTGATATCAAAATTATCTGTCATTACCATACATTTAAATTCACCACCCATTGCTAATTAAATAGGTCAATCAGGAGCTGGAATTCCAACCGGACCATGCAGCTTGCCTGGTTGGAATACGCCCAAAACTGCATGACCTGCTGGTCAACTGGTCTGCTACCTTTTGAGGCCTCCATAGGTTACCAACCTCCACTCTGGAAGACCACCCAAGCAGCCTTCCTTTGGACGAAGGAGCAAAATAAATGGCTGCCTGACTGGAACAGGACTACTGCACTTCCCTGTACTCGTCCACCTCGGCCTTACACAGAGTTTGTCTGATTTCTCAGACTTTTTATCTGATTTAGTGCTCAGCTCAGTTAAAACAATTATTGTGGGTGATTTTAACATCCACGTAGATGCTAAAAATGACAGTCACTCTCCCCCTTTCTGGTAATCGCACGGAACAAATAAATTTTTGCCAGTTCAAAGCACAGCACACACCTCTTTTTCTGGGTCACCCCTGGGTACGATAAAAAAAACCCTGTATTAACTATGACAAGGATTGTATCTCGGGTTGGAGTAATAGCTGCCTTAAGTGTGCCCCTCTATACGTCCAAAGTTGCAAGACCTCCTCGTGTATAGTCTTAATTTATTTATTTGTCAAAGTACTGTCCTTGGTGCTGAAGACTGAAGAAGTCACTTGATGAGTGACCAAATGTTTCTGGAAACGCTACATCCAGATGAACACAATCAACTTTTCGGTACTTGGTGCTGAATATAAATGGCCAGGATGGATTCTTGGCTCCTTTTGGACAATATCATTGTGTGATTGTATTATGAAACAAAACAACAATTAGATACTCCAACAGATTTCATTACCCACTACTTCTTGTTGCTTTTGGTGGGATTGAAGTGAAATGGTTTCAATAATACATGCATATTTTTGTGAAGATTTTAAGTGATAAGTATGTAAAACACAAACTATATGAGATAGAAGACAGAATTTAATGAGTGACAAGAGGTGAGTGGAGAAAAAAATGCTCAGTGGATCATAGAAGGACCCCCAGAAGCCTGAATCTACAGCAGCATGACTAGGGTATGGTTCAGAAATTAAGTTGCTCGACATTTCATAATATGCAATATGTATGCAGAGCCCAGAACTGTACCTGCAGGTCAAGAGCAGTGAGCTGCTTTTCCTTCTTTCCTGAATTGCGTTTGTATTCCTCAATGGTCCAGGATGGCTGGCCACGTATCCCAGCTGATGGACTGGTGAGCCTTACATCAGCGTACAGAGAGCTGTCTTTCATATGGGCCTTGACAGAAGGGTTGAAGTGATGCGGTGAAAAAACCTGCTCAGTCAGGTAGGAATCCTTTGATTGTTTTTGGAGTCGTTGCACTTGGGGGAGCTCATATTGACGCTTTCGATCTGTCTAAGAAAACAGCAAAGGATAAACACAGCAGATTTTAATCACTGCAGAGAAATATTTACAACCATCTCACAGATATATCATTACGTCCAGATACTTTCAGCACTACTTATGTTCTTTTAAACTTGTTCCTGAGTTAACTTCAACATTCACTCCCTCCAAATGATCGATTTTTAGACACCATTGCTACAAGAATGCTCAGAAAAGTCCCATTCACTTTTATTTATAAAGCACCAAATCACCTCATGGTGCTTTATACTGCACGGTCATGACCCCACGATAATACAAAGACAACAGGAAACCCCAACAATCACTTGATCCCCCTTTGAGCAAGTGCTTAGTAACAGTGGAAAGGAAAACCCAGCTACACACACACACACACACACACGCACACACACACACGCACACACAC